TAGACACACTCGATCCTTTTCCCCTTTGGGGAAAGTAGAACAGTTGCCCATAATGACGTTTTAGATTCAGTCCTTGAGCCATTTCAGGCCATCTGTATTCACCTCTGGAGCTTCTTGGAGGCTGTGCAGGGGGTATCTAGGAGTCAGCTGAAGTCCAAAGCATCTCCCAAGAGGTCAAGCAGGAAGAGTACGGATGGGATACATGGGATCCTCCATTAGTGCACCAAGCACCGCCTCTGCTGCATCCTGACTTGAAGCTTTACCAAGAAGCTTCAAAGGACGCTGGCGGGTAACGAGGAGCACTGGAAGCGGCAGCTTGTGGTGCTTGCTTTAGTTTAGTTTTGTTTAAAAAACAAGGTCATTGGGCTTTTGCTTGTGCTGAGTCAGTCAGAGCAACAAAGGGGCTGCATGCTGTCTTCCCTCCACCCCCATTCCCATCCCAGAGCAAGGAGCAGTATTGCAGGTGGTGGCACTTTGGTGAGGACAATGTTTCTCATTTGCTCTTGGCTTGTTTTTGATGGCCTGAGGCCATGCAGGACACAGGTGCCTTCTCTGACAAGCGTTAACATGAGATACCCGGGAGCTGGTGGGGGGAGAGCCTGGCTCAGCTTTGGCAGCCAAACCAGGCTAGGGCTGGCTGCGGATCCCTGCACGGGGTTTTGCAGAATGGTGGTTCCTTTGTCCTGCTCTCCCCTTTCTGCTCCTGAAAAGGAGGAGTGAAATGTCCGTGAATCCACCGGAGCTTTGGAATGGGGGTGGGAGGGTAGCCTTGCTGCCTTTCTGCTCAGAAGCAGCCTTAGCTGAAATAGCCCAGTGGAGTAGTGGTGGGGAAGTTGCATGCCCGGCACCTGGCTTGCTTTCATTGTCAGTGATACCAACTTCACTTGCTGACACAAATGATCTGTAAGGTGCTTGTACTTTTGCAGGGACACCTGCATCTGTTGCTCAAATGTAAAGTACTTCTGATTTTAACTAATCAGGGCTCATGGTAGAGGTGGTATCTCTTATTAGACCAGCAAGATAGTTGCAAAAAAAAAAATTATTTAATTGCAAGCTTTTGGGCAAAAACACCCTTCATCAGGCATTGGAGAGAAGATTGTACAAGTTCTCCCGGGTGGAAATGAAAGTTCGTATTTCATAAGATTTCACAGCAGAGTCAATAGATGGAAAACTCCTCTGAGCAGGCAGTTCTTAGCTGGTAAGGCGTCTCAGCTCTCTTGTGAGGCTCAGTGATGATGCAAATTACCTTGAACAAAGGCAGGAGCAGTATCTCAGGTTTCAGGTGGTCAAAGTTGCTTCCTTTTTGGGAAATTATGAAGATTGAACTTGAAAAATCGGCTAAAATTCGAGATCTTCTGTGTGTCAGGTATCCAGGTTGTAGCTGTATTGGTCTAGAGGAGAAAGCAGTCAGAGCTTATGGTAGAGGTGATATTTTTTTTTTATTAGACCAACAAGATTCTTGCAAAAAAATATTTTAAGGGTGTTTGTGCCCAAAAACTTGCAATTAAAGACATTTTTCTGCAAAAATCTTGTTGGCCTACTAAAAGATATCACCTCTACCATGAGCCCTGATTGCTTTTTCCTCTGGATGCAACCTGGATATCTGATTTTAATTGACACGTAGCTTCTGCTAGTCTGCCAAAATGAGGTGGCTTAAATGCCATGCCTTCGCTATGACATGACATCAGCATACAGTGGAGTAGCTAATTTGCTGTAAACGCAGTGATTTAATGGTAGGGCACTGGAGGGCATCCATCCCACACTGGTAATGCTGCTGACCGCCTTCATTTACACAATGATCCGTGCACGAGTTAAGCAGGAGGTGGTGCTGTTTGACTGCATTGCGCTGCAGCCTGGCCAGGCCTTAGCTCTTGGTGCTGGAGCTGTAAAGCGAGAGGCTTTCGGTTCTGTGTGACGGCTGCTGGTGTCATGGGGCGGGTCGTCAGCATTCACTCTGCCTGTGTAAACAGCATAATCAGATATAATTGTGATAAGTAAGCCATGACTTGTACTGAGCCGAGCAGACAGGCAGCGAGATCAGAAAGCAGGAGATGCACCCGTCTTTCTGATGGGCCAGATTCATCTTCCTGCTGCACAGCGTCAGCTTTCACCACGGTAGCAGTGCGTGTATATAAAGGGCCCTACGTGATCTCCCTGCCTCACCCGTGTGCTTTGAAGGATGGATTTTTGGAAAACAGACAAAATTTAGACAAAAACTCTTAACAGCCAGGCAGGGGTCTGCAGTGAATCTGCAAGGTCGCTTCCCCATCGTGCTAACAGGTGCGTGAAGTTTACTTGTCATTTTTTGTGATGGTTTAGCTAAGATGAGCAAATGTCTCATTCCTCTCTGTGGGACTCTTGCTTGTGCAAAGGACCTAGAATTTGGATATTGAATTGAAAAGCCAGTTTCTGATCAAATAAAAGTAGTGATGAAGCTACACGCATTCCAAAAAAGCAAAAAAACCCCCAAAGACCAAAAAACCCCCTCACCAGTCAAATAAGCACTTTCCTTAAAAAGAAAAAAAAAAAACCAACTCCTTGTTCATGATATTTAAATATTTATTTAAATTTAAAAATACTTTTCATGGCACCAATGATTTTATGCTAACTACATACTGAATATGTAGAAAAGGTACATTGTTTTGAAGGAAAATGTAACTTACAGTATTTGGCACATGAAAGGTTAATTTCTATATCTTTATGAAAACTAAGAAATTCACATTTTCAGGTATTTTTACCCTTTACTGCTTAAAGATGCAGTCGCTATTCTTTATTAAGAGTTTTGTTTCCTCTGATATAAGAATCTATGGATTCTTTTTCTAGAAAGACAAAACTAACTGGCAGCGAAACACGAGACATCATGTGGAACATACAGAAAAAACTCGATTAAAAAAAAAAATTACCAGTTGTAATGGTTTAAGGGTAAAATTCTGGGTGAAAATTGCCAAGGGGTAGTCTAGATAGGGTGAAGTCCAGTCCCACTGTTCTAAAAGCAAATTGATGTCAAAGTTTCCAAGGTCAATATTTCGTGTTGTGGTTTTTGAGAATGAAGATGCTTAATGCAGAAGAGAGCTGGATTTGAAGACGTCGCTAAATGATAATGTGGTATTATTATGACATTACACAGGTAACCGTAGCAATTAAAATAATGGAATACTGCATCTTTAAAGGACCTGGGATGAAAAAAATGTCAAGTTTAAGACGATCACGCACTGCATAGAAACACCATTTACTACAGACTGAGGTAGGAACACTACACTAAAAGTTAATTTTGCTATGTTGCATAAAACAGTATATAACCATGTAAAAATCTATCCTTTTTCTCTTGGTAGGCATTCATTATTTAATCTACCCTTACAAGAGTTATTAAATCAAATGCAAAACCTTTTCAGTTCTTGTGACAATCCAGTGGCCAAGGCTAATTTTTAAAGTAATGCGAGAAAGCTGCGTCTTTGTTGGGATCTGGCAGGTGCTAGTTTTAAGTGGACTTTAGTTATTGCAAAGACATAGTCAAAGTCCAGTTGACTTCCAGGATTATTCGATATAGTGAAAATTTGATCGCTGTGCTCTTTTGCCAAATAGTAAATGACTCGCCTGGGACAGAGCCGTAGCGGAGCTGTGGGGGGAAGAGTGCAAACGCTGACTCTCCAGCAGCGCTTCGCTCGCGTGTGCGGCGATGGCTGGTGGTGAGCGCAGAGACAAGAACATGAAAATCAGACTCTCTTTATTTAAAGTGTGTGATTATGGCCCCGGCTTGCTTGAAATCTCTCCCTGAGATGAAATAAAACTCTTGCTAGTCTGTTTTCACTGTGTTTTGTTAAATATGCCCAGCTTCTCAGAAAACTTAATAATAATGACTTTTATTGCTCCCCTTGCAAATGGACTGCCATCTTTGCCAGATAAAGATTCAAGTGTTTATGCCACAAAGGAAATTAGTGAGTTATACATTTTGCTTAAGGACAGATATGATATTTGCCTGTTGGCTTTTTTTTTTTTTCTTCAGTGTTACCTCCACTTCTGTAATTCTGGTCTCTTTTCCTTTGCAAAACCACAAATTCCTATTCATTTTTTTTTTCCAAACTAGCAACGGGTTAATCCAGTGTTAGATTTTCATTCTACAAAACCTTTATTCTCAGAAGTATTTTCTTACTTGAATCATTTTGTACATCACGCTGCGTTCATCCGATCCATAAAGTAAAAAAAGACTTGATTAGTATCAATAACAAAATAGCATTTTGTTGTTAAAATATACGTTGAAACAGTCTCTTTTTTTTTTTTTTGTACAAAACAAGTACAACTTTCTGAGACAAAATGTCTTTCAAATAAATCAGGCATGGTGACTGCTTGGCTACTCGCTCGGACTTTGTCAAACAGAATCGAGTACGTATGTTTCCTAACCCCGGGTGCTAACTCCCTCCTTACTTAGGGGCTCTACACCTCTACGATGATAAACTCCACACCTCTGGAGCACTAAAGGGTCAAGGCGTAAAATAATCCACAAAAGGCTGTGTGTGTAGATTAGGATCGGTATTCGTGTTCACATCACGCTATGCTACCTAAAGGAATAGACTGACACCGCCACTCCCAGCGGGGCTGTCTTGCGCCTACTCTGCTGCCCTTTGCGACAAACCCAAATGTTTTACAAATCCCCAATGGGATTGCCTTGCATCAGGATGTTTTTCCAATTAAAATTAAACCAGGAGCCATCGGCAACAAACCTCTGGTTAGTACGAGGCGATCTCTCTCCCATGACGCTTTGAAAGTGGTCGTGCTGGGCACAGAGTTCAATAAAAGAACTATACACGAGTATTTAACTTACAACTCAGTAGCACCATGACTATCGCTCCTGCATAATACTATGTCTCAGCTATTGGCTGATCCTAATACAATAATCAGTAGTAATATTAAAATAAATTCCTCTTTGTATTTAATACTCTCAAAGTAATACGCGCGTCTATGAAAATCAAAATTAAAAACTTAAATTATCCTGCAGGCGCCCGAGGATGAGAACAGAACGGTCGAGCGCTTCGAGAAAGAGGCTCCCTAAAGAAACGTGTTTGGAGCGGGCATGAGTCAGTCCCTTCCTTCTTCCCGGAAACAAGCATCCTAGGTCGCAGTGTACTTTGATCATGAAAGGAGGACTTAGTTTATGTGCCGATGGTAGCACGATGGGTCCCATGTTCTGGGAACAGGTAGCAGGGATCTTCTGAATCCACCTGGCTAGATATGGGGAGGCGCCATGCCTTCAGGTGTCAATGAGCAGGCTCAGTGCGGAGCGGATTTTGCAGGCAACCCATCGCCTGAGGGGACAAAAGTATTGGTAATGGAACTGCTCGAACTCGGGGGTCTGGCGAATATCACGGAAAAAGGCAATGTCAAGGTCAGACTCGGTAAGGACGATCAGGAGGAGGAGCAAGACAAAGAGGAGTCCCACTGTCACAAGGAGCAAACGGAGGACACTTAAAACAAACTTATTCACCTGTTCCGCCTGAGTCCCGGCACTGCCCCCCAGGCCCTGACACAGCGCCCTCAACTCCCCGCCCAGCGCCTCCGCCTCGGCCGCGCTGGGCGTGCTGGCCTCCGACTCCTTCTCCTCCTCGATGCTGCAGGGCGCCCCGTTGATCTGCCGCGACAGCAGCATCAGCTCCAGGCTGTGCTCAGCCACCGGCGTGGGCAGCACGCTGTCCGCAGGGCTGTAGTTCTCGTCCGCGATCACCGCCACCCGCTCGCTGCTCTCGGCGCGGCTGCTGCGCCCGCGCGGCATGAAGGCGTCGCCGTGCGAGGATGAGCGCACCGGCGTGGAGTGCGCACTGTCCCGCAGGGACTCCAGGCCTGGTGAGGACAGACACACAGGGTGAGCGGGCAGGCAGACAAGGCACCCACGGGCTGGGCTGCACCGCGGCAGGGGCTCTGCAAACAACGAGCAAGCAGCAGGATGCGTGCCGTGGAAAGGGAGTCGGTGTGCACACGGGAAACGGCGCAGAGGCACCCAGCGGCTGCAGCAGTGGGAGCTGAAGCACACAAAACCAGCCACCCTTGGGAGATGCAAGGGACGCTTCCTCCCCCACCCCACAACCAAGCCTGTGCAAAGCTGTGCCCAAGCCCCCGGGACCCTTCTGTGGGGCATCCACAGCCCCTCTGCAAAGCAGGGCTGGGAAGGGCAGCACCTGGACCCCCTGAGCCTCCCTGGTGGGAAAAGCAGCAACCACCAAAGTCTCGAGCTGAAGTCACAGCACTGAGACATCACCACATGCAGGGATACGCTGTCGGGAGGATGCCCTAGCCCGAGTGCGGGGTCCGGGCATCCCTAGCTCACGTTCTGCCCTGTCCTCCTCCTCCTTCCTGCCTCGCAGCCCTTCCTAGAGCTAAGAGGATTGTTCTGCGCAGGCTTCGTGCACGCAGCCCTGGACTATTGCTGAGTCCCTGCCACAGGCACAAAGCCCGGTGGTCCAGAGGGGCTCAGACCTTGCAGCAATGGGGACAGCTCCCCGAGGGACGATCCCCACAGACGGAGAGCGCCCCAAGGCCGGGCGCTGAGCAGTGCACAAAGAGCAGAGAGCCTCGTCTCGGTGTCCCCGGCTGAACTGCACGTAGTCCACGACTCCTGCTCCCCGCCACCGTGTTTGTTTCTCCACTGAGCGCTCGAGGCCGAAGGAAACCACGTAACCCTGAGCAGAGGCTGAGCTGCAGCCTGGCACCTGGGCCCGTTTCAGGAGACTTTTCTTGTTCCCCCGTGGCGGGTCCTTCTTCAACCCACCCCCAAGGCCTAACACCGCAGGGGGCACACGTGCGTGGCCCGTTTCTTGCCGGCATATACTTGTCCCAGTTGTGTCTCGCTGCTGGAGCGCAGGCAGTGCCCCTTCCTGGCTTCCAGCATAAGGGCATCATTTCACCAGCGAGGCCCACACCTCTCCCCTGGCACGGCCTGAGTACTGGCCTCAAAGCTTCTCCTTGGCATGAAAAGGAAACACAAAGCAGCATCTTTGTTCTGGGTGACTGCCGTAACTCCTTCAGGGCCCTTGTCTGGGGAGGAGGGGAAGGAGAACAGAGGAAATTTTGCCTGCAGCAAAATTAGGGATTTGCATTCAGCAAAATTAGACCAAAGCAAAAAGCATTTGGATAACCAGTGACCAGAATAGCTGCCAGATGCAGCCAGCGCCACCCTGAATGCCACCAGCTGCGGGTCCCTTCCTCAAAGCAGCGGGAGTCATTGCCTGTGCAAAAGCCCGGAAAGCACCGAGCTCACCACCCGCCTGCTAATCCCAGTCATCGGAGTGGAGCTGTCGGCAAGGAGGACACATTTCCAAGCAGATCTTCTGGCGTCTTGCTCCATTAATAGGTTGGTCTGGCCAGCACAGGTCGTGGTGCCCCTTAACGTGCACTGCCTAACACTAAACCGCACAGGGGACTACTGAGTGCTGGTGGCACAAAAGACGTGGCAGTGAACTTGAGCCGTGGCTGAACGCGCCGAGGTTCGCCCACGATGCAGCAGAGCTGAGCTGCAACCACAGGATGCTCTCGGGTGAAGTGCCTTCATGGAGCCACATTGCTTTGCTCTGGGAACCTGCAAGAGTGACTTCCCCAAAACAAAATGTTGAGGTCTCATGGGAGAAAGAGGCCCTTCGAAGTAGCTGTTTAACCTGTTCATGCCTGCTAGTGTCCAGGCTGCAGCTTTCCCCTGGAATAGAAGCGTCCTCGCTACAGGCGTGGGTCCTGTGCACAGACCAGGAGCAAAGAGAAAAGCAACCTAAACTCACTTGTTTGCACCATGCTGTGTTAGTAGCTAGAATTACATGCAAAACCCCAAGGAGGTTTTTGCATACAATTCCAGCTGCTAATGCAGCATGGAGCAAACAACTGACTAACGCCAGGCACCAACCCTGAGTCGGGGCATGCTGCCATGGAGGTGTATTCCTGTCTGGGGAGATGAGACCTCCTTACACCTGCAGATCCGGGCTGCAGAGCGTGCTTGGAAAGCCTCCCTTTCAGCAGCTGCCCGTGTTAACCACCTTCTCACGTGTCAGAGCAAGGGCTTGATTCCAACCTGATGCAAAGGCTTGAGATGAATGTACTCGTGTGTGTGTGTGTGTACTTGGATGCACGTGCATCATTGCAATTCTTACAATCATTCACAGCATTTGCAAAATGGACAAGGCCAGTAACTGCTGAGCTGAGCCACTCATCTGCACTGGATGGAGCCACCGTCAGCCTCAGAGCTGTGGCTTTGTCAGCTAAAGCTCCAGAAAGGGCTCAGCTCACCTCCTGAAGAGGAGGGACAACGCACGAAGAAGGAATCATAGAAAATGAGGGTTGAAGGGACATCAGGAGGTCACATCTAGTCCAGCCCCTGCTCCAAGCAGGACCGGACCCAACTACATGATCCCAGCCAAGACTTCGTCTAGCCAGGTCTAAAACACCTTCAAGGATGGAGACTCCATCAGCTCTCTGGGTAACCTGCTCCGGTGCTTCACCACCCTCCTCGTGAGAGTTTTTCCTAATATCCAATCTCAACTTCCCTTGCTGCAGCTTGAGCCCATTGCTCCTTGTCCTGTATCTGCCCCCACTGAGACCAGCCCAGCTCCATCCTCTGTGCAGCCCCCCTGCAGGGAGGCGAAGGCTGCTATTCAAGCCCCCTCGGTCTTCTCTGCTTGCTGAAGGACGTCGCGCAGAGGGAGGGAGTCTGTTTGCTGCAGCTGTTCCACAGCTAACGCCTCTTGCAATGCAGACAGCGGCTGCGTCGTACCAGGTTGTAAAGCCACGGCTGGCTCAGGGTTGATTCGACTGTGAGACAAGCTATGAGTAACTCTCCCAGCTCCCCGCACCCGCTCCGTGGGCTGTTTCTGAACTGCCCGGGGGCAAGCTTGCTGACGGCAAAGGGGCCTTTCCAGCCTTACCCCGACGGTCTTGTTCATTTTCCACATGCTCCCAGGGTTCACTCTAGGCTGCCGCTATGCTGTTGGCCATCCCGTTTCTGCGTCTGTCTTCAGTAAACCATCAGCAGCACTCTTACAGACTCGCATTATGCCAGCTTTGACAGCTTCCACCAGCAGCGGGTTTAACGGCATCTCAACTATGCTATTCTTGTACAAAGATAATCTTCAGCGCTCATTGCCAGCCCAGAACAAGTGCCAAGAGAAATGCTTTTGCCTGGAGCACTGCAGCGATACAGTTATGCTGTTATTTTATCTGTCCTCCTTGCACAACCGCCATGGGGCTGCGCTGGGGGCTTTCTAAGCAAGCACTTCATTAAGTTCCTTATTAATCCCAACGCTACGCTCACGGCCCCTGAGGAGGAAGCTGACACGGATGTTTTGTAGTTGCTTAGCCACAGACATCGCGCGGGGGTTGCCAACAGGAAACTAAGCGTCCAGGTGCAAGGATGCGTGGTGGTGGTGCGGTAGGACTTGGACTGGGCTGTGCCGATGCTCCTGCTGGGCCCAAAGCTGGAGCTGCCTGGCCAGAGCCTCTTGCCCTCCACTCGGGGTCAGACTGATGCCAGATTTGGGGTCAGGAAGAATTTTACCCCGTGGTCAAATTGGTATGGACTGGGAGGGAGTCTGCCTTCCTCTGTAGCGGGGGCATAGCCGTCTATCTGGGATCTGGTGCACCTAGGGGGTCCTGGCACCTCTGGGCAGAGCAAGACCCTGCCACTAATCAGGTGGTGGAGGAAGCAGGACATAGTCCACGCGACCGGTCCCCGCAGTCAAGGGCCCAGCTCTCTCCACGCCCGCGCTCTCGCACCGTCCCTGCGGGAGCAGCTGGCGCTCTTGGCCCACGGCACAGAAAGGCAGGCTGTGCACGCGGACCCCGTCTCGTCCCCAGCGTGCCCGCCGGCTTCTCCGTTGCTCGCTTGGAAGCGTTGCAGGGGGAAGCCCTGCTGAAGCCAGTCATTTCACGCGAAAGCTGCGGGAGCAGGAGGCAGGGGCATCCCAGCACCGGGGGGAGCTGTTCTTGCCCCGGCAGGATCTCCACCCTCAGCGGTCACTAGCCCTTTGCCAGTATTGGCCTGGGGGCTTGGGTCACGCGAGCGCACACTGGGCGTGCACGGTGGTGTTTTGCTGCCCGAGGGAAGTGCCAGCCTTACCCCGCACGTCTCTGCTGGCTCCTTGCACCGAGCCAGGCTCAGCTGACCCCCTGCCCTGCTCCCTCGGTGCTGGGAAAGGCCGTATCCCGACTCCCTGCCTGTGGCACAGACTGGGTGGCTGGTTACCTGGTGCAAGCTGGTCGCGAGGCTCCCGTGGCGCGGCCTGGTCCGAGCCGGCGAGGGCTGGGAAGAGGGGCAGGGCGCCCAGGGCTCTGCCCAGCAGCCGGGGCCCCAGGCTCAGCACCCGCACCCGCACGTCCCGGCAGCAGTGGTTGATCAGGCGCAGGTGGACGCCGACTTTGGTCCTGATCTGGACCAGACACTTCACCATGGTGCTGGGGCAGAGCCGGCACCGGCAGCCGCGCGGGGACCAGGCACCAGGGCAATGCCCAGGGAAGGGCTGCGCCGGCTCCCCGCGGGGCCGCGTGACACCCGGGAGCCAGAGCTATTTCGGGATGAGCTGCGGGCCGGGGAGTGCTGATGTGCGAGTGAGGAAAAGCAGCTGCAAAGGCAGGGGAGGGCAGATGGACGGCGTTAGGTATTGCTTTTTAACACCCGGATGGTTTTGCAGCCGGCTGAGCTGGAGCCTGACACTGGTGCCCGCTCTGTGCTGTTACACGTCCGCCCTGCTCGGCACGACTGTGCTTTGCTGGGCTACGACCAGGGGCACGAGCAGCTCCTGCGGGCTTCGTGACCTTGAAATCAAGACCGGGCTTTGTAAGAGGCAAGAACGAGGCGGTCCGACCTGCCTGGCACAGGCTCCGCCGGTCGTAAAGCACTGGGACAGGCTCCCCAGAGAGGTGACGTCTCCGTCCTTGGAGGTTTTGAAGACCCAAAGTGACAAAGCCTTGCCTGGGATGACGGAGTTGGGGCTGGTCCTGCTTGGAGCAGGGGGTCGGACTAGATGTGACCTGAGCTCTCTTCCGGCCCTCGTTTTGTGTGATTCCCCGATTCGTCTCTGCCTAGCCTTGTGATACGGATCCACCCCTCGCAGAGTCGACTGTGACCTGGTGCTTGCTCAACGGACGGTCAGCCCAGCCCCTGACCCCCTGCTCCACCCACCAAAATCATTTTAGCTCAATCTTCGCTGGAAGCCTTACTCTGCTGTAGTCCCAAAGCAGCAAAACCGACCCATCAGAGCTGCTCAACACCTCGTTAAAAACCTTCGGGCACAAGCTCTCGCCGATCCCTCCAGCTCCTCCGCATAAGAATGGGCAGGTGAAGGGACCGCTGCAGCGGTCTCAATTGCTCTGATGCCATAAAGTCCATTTTGAATAGACTTTTTTGACACTGGTCCTTCCCATGAGATCGGAACAGCTCGTGCCGTCCCCAAACCCTAGCCTGTGGACACGCAGCGTGGCAAGGAAGCGCGTGGCCTTCGCTGCAAACATCCGACCCAGCAAGACGGCACAGGGCCGCGGCAGGGTGTCCTCCCTGCACCGCTTGCTTGGAGGAAATGCGTTCGTGGGCGCTGGCACTCAGAGCCCAGCGGCTTGGCGGGGGGGCGGGGGGTGTTTTATAAAGGCGCGGTG